TTAAGCGTATTTCTAGACATGTTTCTAAGAGCCATGTGTTGGTAGCAAATATCTCCAAGAAATAAAGGGTAAACCTTGATTGTTATAATGCTCACGGACTGGTTAAGCTTCACACTATATAATGCACATCAGCTGAAGCGATTCTATCAGTATGAAATTATCGGCGACTTTCCGTATGAATTACTCACCAGCGGTACAACTTTCTTTTCAATACGTGAACACATATTAGCACATACATAATATAAATAAGACTTTTTCCAGATATTTGAAGCATTGTAACTTGGGATATAATACTATATGACTGACTTTCAGTTTGTATTGAATTCCTCTGTTATGGAATATTTTTCCAATATAAGAGACAAAAAAAAAGAAGTCTGCTTAAACCATCTGTAATTCTTAGGAAAAATGTACAGTTCTATTCTCAACTATTTGCCATTGGGCAAGAGATCTCATACATAGAATCTGGTAGAGTCATGTCTACTCTACAAAACCCACAGGATCAGAGAATATGGAAATTCGGTTTAAGAAACTTCCTTCGGTACAACATTTTAATATTACTTTTTCGTGTGTCAAAAAGATCTTTTTACTAGGTCATCGAATATTAGACAATGCCATATGGGCTGATACTCTAGGTGACCGAAAACAAGAATATATAATTGGAACTACTTTTAGTCCTGTGAATGTCAAAAAAAAATGAGGATCACAAGATTATGTGCACTTTGAGGGTGTTATAACGAGCGTAAATTTGTGATATTCGTAGCTCTCCAAAGGAAGGTCAAAAGACCGTATTTTTTCTACTGTATACATAACTCATAGAGACCTAGCAAATGAGGTATAAATAAAAACTTTCGGAGACCTTTGTGTGTAAAGTGTTTGACATCCCATGCAACTATCCATTTATTTTTATTGTTATCTATGTGTTTTTCTTCTTTTGTATCGTTTTTTTTTCTACAGAACTATTTTATGATGAAAATATATCAATAGTAATAATTTCGTCTTTGTTTTTGTTGATACATTCTTCAACTTTGGTACTCTGTGGTAATTTGTCATTCAAAACAAAGTACCAAATGGGACTTTGACTATACATTCAAAGGACCAAAAGGCACTCTGCTTCAGCTTCCTATTAAAAACACTGTTTTTGTGTATTTTCTATAGATGTTCCAGTTTAAATTTAAAAAAAATTAATTCAATAAAAATTAATTTTCATTAATTGTTAATCGTCTTTTTACGTATTTCAGTTCGATATGGTGGAAGATAAGGATAAAGTTTTTGTTTTAAAGAAAACAGAGAACTTTTATTTCTATTTATGTACTTCATAAAATTTACTTTTTTTGAGCGATTCGCTTTTATAATTCAGCATAGAGAAATAGCATCAAAAATTTCTTCTTAGACATGACGTTAATTCACTTTTTTAGTCTGTTTGGAGACCTATGGCTCCAATCAGACTGGCTTAATTCAAAGTGAATTAAGAAACATGATTGATGTTTCCACGTAACAACGGTCATTATATTGATCAATTCACTTTGAATTAGGTCAGTCATATTGAGGTCATAGATTGCAATGAGAAATACAGCCATATATAAAATTAAACGAATAAGATAATCAGACATGGACACTTCCAATAACAATAATCTGAATATACTCGATTTACCCGATGAAATATTATTGATCATTTTCAATAAACTGAATAGAATCGATGCTCTCTATTCGCTTGTGGACGTTAATAAACGATTTAATCGATTAGTACTGAATTCACTTCATATTCGCAATCTTGATACGACCAGCATGGTTATAAAATCATATTATGATCGTAGATTTTCAATAGACAATAATATTCTATTGAAAATATGTGAAAAAATCTTACCTCGAATTCATCATCAATTAAATGAACTTATCGTTGAACAAAATTCAGTGAAACATATTCTTCTTACTGGTTATTATCTTCAACTCGACTCGTTATCACTTGTTAATTTTCAAAAAGAAATACTTTTTCAATATTTAACAGGTGCATTATTTGTATTAAATAATAAAATGTAACATAAATTCATTGTCTTTATTTTTTAAATCCTCAGGTAATTCAATTCTTCATCATCTTCTCACTCAACAAATTCAACATCTTAATATTGACGTTTCATACGATCCAAAATCAAAAGGATCTAAAATTCTATCAAGTATATTTGCATTGATTTTATCTGCATGTCAACGATTGATCGATTTGAATTTTTGTCAATTGTTTTATGATCGGAAGAGTCCGATTTGTATTTATAAGTTCCCATCAACAAGTTGCACATCTTCGACTTTAATTAAATTAAAAGTTAATGTCGCAACTTTTGATGATTGTCTTTATCTTCTTGATGGACGTCTCAAACACTTATCAACATTGATTATTCATGTGAAAAAAATATCATTAAGTTTCTCAGATAAAAATAAGGTAAATATAATTTCAATTGGATTTTGAAGAGAAACAAATTCTTAATTATATTTTCATTGTAGAAAAAACTTCCCGAATTGAAATGCTTCTCATTGACTTCAACGAAGTATACATCTCATTATAGCGATCAAATTATTCCATTACTTCGTCGAATGATAAATCTTAAAGAATTGACATTATTCTTATCAGTATTTACAAATGACTGTACTTATATTGATGGTATTCAATTACATGATCAAATTCTTATTTATATGCCACAATTGAACAAATTTACGTTCAGTATAAACTCAAATACTGTTCAGGTAGAAGATGTTGTTAACGAAGACATTGAAATTGATCTTCCGTCGAACGAAGATATTCAACGTAGCTTCATTGGGAAAGGATATGGGCAAGTTGGTTCATATGTCCATTATAGAAAAAAACACAATATAGGCACGTCGCATGTCTATTCACTTCCATATCAATTTGAATATTTTCTTCATCTTAACAACTCTTTTCCAGGTGATATCTTTGATAGAGTCCAATGCTTAACAATGACTGATGGACATCCTTTTGAACATAATTTATTCAAACTTATCTCTCAATGCTTTCCTCTTTTGAAAGAATTAAAGGTTATTAATTATCAACCACAAAAAAATAAGCAACATTCATCTATATTGATTATATTTCCTCATCTTATTCTTCTCAACCTGGTTGAAGTACATGTGGATTATGCTGAACAACTTCTCTGTGATAAAAATACTCATTTGCCTGCTTTGTTAGATCTATGCATCGAATACGAATCACTCGTAATGATAACAAACAATTTTACCAATGATGCAATATGTCGCAATTGTGCTAAAATAAAAAAACTTCATGCAAATTCGTTTTTCCCGTCAAAAAATTTTCATCAATATTTTTCTTTATTATAAATATTAGTTTTGTTAAGAATTCTTTCAATAAAAGAAAAAAATACTTTGTTAAAGTGAAATATACACGAATGAGCTAAAATGAAACTAATATAATAAATGGATACTTTTTTTTTTTCATATATATATTAAGTAGTATTTCAGCAAAATAGCTTTACTATTTATATACATATTTAGCTTCACTTTCAAAATTAATATAAACATGAATAATATCATTTTTACTAACAGTACCACTTTTTTGAATTTCAATTCAAAACTAATTAATATGATGTATTCTCACATGACAAATAAACTAACTTACTGTAAAAATAATGTTTTCATATTTGTTTGTGCTACATAATCTTTGCTTGCATATGAAACTCCTACATATATGCTTTCCAAGTGAATGAATCCATTTGGATCTTGTTAAATCCGATCAGCTATCAGAATTTGATGGAAATTCTCGGATGATCAAATTCATTCATGGATTCGATGCCCGGATTCTAACATACAAGNAAAAAAGCCTTATTGATACAATGACGAATTATATATACTTCATTTTTCTTTTTTGTTTCTTGTAAATTATAAATAAAAATAATTCACTTCTATCTTTTTTTGTTGCTCAAATATGAAATTAATATTGTTATATAATAAATTATTTATTGCTCATTTAATGTCAAAATATTGCTCATTTAATATCATAATATTGCTCATTTTATATTATAATATTGCTCAAATAAACATTTTTTATTGCTCAAAAATTATTGCTAAATCATGTTTTTATTATTGCTCATTCTATATTTTTTATTGCCCAAATAAATACAAGCCAAATTTCATTGAGCAATTGAATGTATTGAGATGGTTGTTGTTTGAAGTATTCATGTCTAACACACATATTGTTTATTTGTATCACTCTTCATGTCTCCATCTTCTGATAGCGGTCTGTGAGAATAATGAAAGATAGATATTGATGTCTTAATACTCCGCTACGATGAATGGCTGATGAATAATAGAAGGTTTCTTTTTGTCTAAGATTTTCTGTTATTCACCAGTGTTTTATTCGTCATTTCATGTGTCATCTTACACTTACCTGAAAAAGTAAGTGTAATATGACATCTTTATTCGTCATGTCATTCTTGTATCATCACAATGTTTATTATGTAGTGTAGTCTTCGTAACACATAAACCATGTTTCGTATGAGATATAGTATATCAATTAGACATTAGAAATCTACTCAGAAATAGTTAAAGCTAGTATTCACTAAAAGACTACTATTAATTTTATTTGGTTAAACTAAAAAAAAATAAATTTTCTAAAAATGTAAAAAGCAGAGATCGTAGTTGGATGTATCGAATGTTATTAATGTGTGAAACTAAGATCGAAAGTGTTTTAGAAGTAAGGTGAAAGTTTTTACTGAATGTTAGATATTCTATTGCGTCCGAGTGAATTATTTTATAGATGACGCTAATCTTAGCCTAACTCAAGAGAGAAGATCAAATTTTGCGACATCCATTGTCTCAATTAGTTAAACAATGAGATTCTTGAAATTTTTTTAGGATTTGTGCACATATATCGAAGTAATTTTGTCTATGTCTGAGTGAAAATGACGACTGGACTGTAATTAAGAGAAAAGGAATTATTGCGACTGAGACAAAAAAAACGTGATCTCGTATATCTCGAGTGAAATCACTTAGAAATCGTTGAATCCCACATAGGCTGAGATGAGGAAATAGTGTTTAGTCAATTCTTGATTTTATCACATTGTCTTGAGACTTGTGTAGGAAAAGTCGATTTTGCCAATGTTTTCAAGATAGAGAATAAATTACCTTTATATCTATAACTTTCTTCTATTAGGTTACATATGTAAAACTTGATCTTGGAGCACTCAGAAAAAGAGTTTTTTCATTTTTCAAGTCAGTTCAGATCTAGTAAGAAAGAATTCGGATAAGATCGTGGGAAAAACGACATTTAATGGCCTCTGGAAAGAAGATAATTTACAGCTTACGCTTATTTTAAAATTCTTCTAAATTTTATATTAAAGAAAAAGAAAAGTAAAAATAAATCGTTCAATACGTAATAAAATTCGTTAAAATCTTTTGATGATAATTGAAGAAAGAAAAGAATATAAAACTACAAATGATGTTATTATTCCATATGATTTTCTTTTATTCATCAGTTGACTAGCATTAAAACAAAATAATAAATGTCAACAATGAATGACATTTATCGTTTGATGATGTAGTTCTCCTAAATATATAATCAACATAATATTTCAACATTTCACCATTAAAATAATCAGGTATATATTTAACTGAATTCAATTAAATAAAAAAAACACCAAAAGTAAATAAAAATGGTAGAAACATAGTTTTAATGCAAGATTATTTGAATAACTCAAATAAAAATATCGTTAATATTTGTTAGTTATTAAGGAATTTTGAGGATACATATTTCTTAAACATATCAGTCATTTTTCGGATAACGCGAACTATATTTTATATCTCTTTGAAATGTTTCAATTTATTGATTAAAGTAGTCGGATGATGTTGTTATTGTTATCGTATCTATTAGTAACACATAGTCTTTTTAATATTAATTGGTCTAATCTCTGGCCATGATAAAAAAAGCTCAGATTCAATCGTCTAATGGCAGAGTAATAAAATTCTATGTAGGCAGGGACGGCGCGACCGAGGGGGAATAGGGGGTCATCCCTCCTGCTTCGGAAAATTTTTGATTGGAGCTTTCTCCGAATTTGAAAATTTTGGTAGTGCCAATTTTCTCCAAATTTGCGGGATCATTAGGCGATTTTTCCGATTTTTGAGAACTACAATAAACAATTTCCTCCCATTTTGGAGAAATACAATAAACAATTTACCTTAAATTTGGCAAAAATCTAAGTTTGAAGAAATCTATTCTACTATTTTTTTTTTCGATTCTTGAGATTTTTTGAACTACATCAATAATCTAAGCTCGTGTTTAAGCGCGAAATTAGTATTATAACTAGATGCATCTGTCATCAATAGCAATATGTGATACGTGGATGTTAACGATAACTGAACGAAGAATAAAATTTTGAAAAAAAAAAAAAAAATCAGATTTTTTGTTGGAATCCTCGGTATAATATTGCATGAAGTGCGGTCAGAGTAGGACAAGGAATATCGGAAAGTCTGCTTCGAAAAGAAAGTGATGATAACCAAAAAAGTTTAGAGTCTTCCTCCAAATTTAAGCAGAGTGAAAAACGTTTTTTTTTCTCTTCAATTTTGACTTTTTGGGACTGGAGGCTCCGATTTTCTGGATACCCCCTCCTGCTCTGACCGCTTCGCGCCGTCCCTGAGTAAAAATATCTCATATCGCAGCGCAATCAAAATGAACAACATCTAGAAAAAATCAACGAATACAATGTATGTTAAACCAGAATTTGATAGCTCTGAATAGATTTTCGTTGAAACAATAATTGAAAAAAGAATGAAAAGAATTAATCCTGAAAAATCCAATTTATAATAATCAGGATCATCAAAACAAAGGAAACTCATTAAATTAGATAAAAAAAACTTTCCTAAAGAATAAATTTTCTTTTCTTTTATTTAACTTTTAATATTCTCATTCGGATGAATCTAGTCGTGATATATCTGCTTCAATGTTTTATCAAATATTAAAGAAGCAAATACTATCGAAGATATATTAAAAATTTTTTGACAGATATGTTGTACCAACAAAATTTGCATTAATTTTACAAAAAATATGACATTTACCATCAATGGATAATAGTGATACTATTCAATATTTATGCACAATCAGATGCTACTGCTTGCAATCGTATGGGATCAATTTAAATTAGTTTTGTAAATTATCAGAAGAAAATCTTTTTGAAAAAAAATAAGTTTTTGTTTTTCTTATTTATAGTTAGACAAATTTGATGATAATAAAGTTTTAACAGCTATTACATTTGACATAAAATATTATTTAGAAGATAATCAATTTACTTATAGATTTTCTCTTTCACTTGTTAATCGTTTAAGATGTATTAATGTTCATTAAGTATATATTTAGCTTTTTAAAAAATCAATTTTCATTTTAGAAATGTTTTTTTTTCTTTTAAGTTGTTCGAATTACAACATTTCTAGCTAAAAATCAATATTCGAAAATTAGTGTTGTTACGTTAAGTATGATATTTATGAATATGATTTCTTTTTTATTATTCGTCAATCAATATTTATACTTTTATTTTTAGATTGTTAATAGTCGTAGATAAAATAACTAGGTACAACACAAGATTTAAGTACTGTTTTAACAAATGACGAAGTAATGGTACTAATGGAAAAACAACATTTAATAAAGTACGCATTGATGAAAATCGTTTCAAGTAAGTTAAATAATTATTAGAAATAAATGGAATTATTAATGTTTATTTATATAATTAGAATTTCATTTAAATGTCTTGATTATCAAAAATCCAAACAATTTATTAAACCTTTATAGACCAAATATTTTTATTTGATTTTTTTTTCATTAAATTACAAGTAACGTTCATCGACATTGAGTGTCGATTCACTTGGCCCTAGACTGACGGAAGGATGACAAAGATGTCCTTATATTTTTAAATAAAAATGAATTCTGTATAATGATGAGTTTAGGAGTAATTATTAATATTTGTAACATGCTCTATATTACATACTATAGATATATTCAAACAGTTCACATAAAATATTGAAAGATGCTAATGTATATGATAAAGTTTATGCTTTAATTAATTATAACGACTAAAATGGTGATTTATGCCGAAGTAATAGCCATTTCTAATACGGATATGGCCAATTGTGACACAGACATGCTTATTTGAGCCATAAGAATGGTCAACTATGCCATAGAAATGGTTGATTGTGCCGTGGAAATAGTGAATTGAGCCACAGAAACGGTCATCTGTATAATGAAAATGGCCAACTGTAACAAATAAATGGTCGCCTGTACCACCAAAGTGGTACTTTTGTACCATGAAAATGGTCACTTATACCAAGTGTTACAGACAGACAGGCACAGGTGAATTTCGGTTGCTAGACCCAATTCTTTTAGTCTAGGGAAAACTATCTAATCGATCAGAAACACATTACTTTCCATGATACATGAAACACATTATGAGTAACACATTGTCAAATATGCCATAGAAATGCGCATATGTGCCACAGGAATGGTCATTTGTGCCACAGAAATGGTCGTTTGTGCCACAGAAATGATCATTTGTGCCATGCTTGTTACAGACAGACAGACACACAGACACAGGTGAATTACCGTTTCTAGACCCTATCCTTTCAGTCTAGGGAAAATAAATACATAACTTCATTTACACACAAAAAGGCATGAAAAAAAGAAAAGGTTTACAATATAAGAAATCACAAAAAAAGTTTAATCTTTGCTTTCATTATTATTATCAGCTGTTGTTTCATGTGCTTCTGTTGTATGTGTGTCATAATTCATGAAGAATATGTAGCAATATTAAGGCATCTGCTACGTGACGAAAGAGAGGCATTCCTAAGATGTCTATCACGGCCTGTGATCGAAGGAGGGGTGTTGCTAAAGTCTGTGATGGAGGGAAGACTTTGCTAAGACGACTGTCACGATCTCTGAAAGAAGAAATGGACGCAGTGGCGTACGCAGGGGAGCCGAGGGGAGTCCGGGCCCCCTCTCTTGAAGAAAACTTTCCTGTGGGGGAATACGGGTAAAAAAAGTACTACGGCACAAATTTTTGAAAAAGTCCATTACGGGCTCCCTCCTTGAGAACTTGGGCCCCTCTCTTGGAAAATTTCTGCGTACGCCACACACTGGGCAACCAGGCGAACATATGCGAAAATATTCTTTGCCACAATCTAACCGTTTGCATAGATACATACATATGTGATCTATCATTGCCTAAAATAGCGGTTCTCAAAGTTTTATCGAGCCATAAAAAACAGCCTCACAAGATTTGGGCCCAGAAATGGACATAAATGAAGAAAGTCAAGCCGCTCGGCAATATAACACAATATTCCACAAGCAAAGAATATCGCAAAAAACTTGCTCACCTATGGACTTTATGGTAAAAAAGTTATCGCAATCCAATTAAAAATAGAGTAGAAAACAAAAGATCACGAGCCTCAAAACCTACCTGAAAACGTACCGTTCCGTATATTGTAAACGCTACAAAGGAATAATGTTCGTTCGAGTTCAATTTTTTACCAGATGCTCCTGCATATATACCATATCTATGGTAGTAGCGCAAACTCATGAAACATTTCCTAGGCTATTTTACAGGATGCTCAAAAACTCGCGGTTTCTGGAAGGAAATCCGGCTTTCGGCAACCCATATTACACTTTGACGAAAAACCAAGATCATATACGGAATCAGCTCATCAAGCTGCATCGAATCATATGTAAACAATGGTTTTTCAAGAAATATTCGGCTCACTTTTACAAATAAACTAGGGTCAAAACCATACCATTCCGTATATTCTGAACGCTACAAACGGATAACATCGAATCGAGATGAAATTTTTACCAGATACTCTTGGAAATGTATCCTAATTATGGTAATAGCGCCAACTCGTGAAACTTTTCCTAGGCTGTTCTACAGGATTCCCAAAAACCCACGGTTTTGGGTCGGAAATCCAGTGTTAGACTTCCATATTATGATTTGAAGGAAAACTATGCTGATATTCGAAATTACCTCGTCAAGCTGCACCACACCCTATATAAAAAGAGTCACTTTTGTGAAAGTCAATTTTTGACGGAAAACAACCGGTACAGTTTTTGACCGAAAAATCCAGTTTTAGGCATTTATATTACACTTTGAAAGAAAAACTAAGGTGATATTGAGAATCAGCGCATCAAACGACATCGAATACTATGTAGCTTAACCCTTTGGGGACCCAGAACGTATATATACGTCCTCACAACTGAAACAGAAGACCCAAGTGCTTTGGATATTTCGAAGTGCAATCATTGTATATTTTATTTTATTTTCCGCCAGAGAGTTCATTGTCATACTCTATAGAAAGAAGAACTAGCGTCACAAGTATATAGTTCATAATTTCTAAGTTATACCTAATTTCCACGATACTATTTACCTCTTCTCGAAAAAAAGTCGGTCCCCAGAGAGTTAGCATATTTTTTCGAAAAATATGACGCTGGGAAACCTTAGCCTTTTTCTGCGAAAAAATTTTTTTCTTAAAAAATCTTTTATTTTTTTAAAAACGATTTTCTGAGTGGCATACAGTTATTTCTAGTCAAATGAAAGCTATTCCTAATCAAAACAGCTGAATGTCCGCCTGCTTATGCAAAAGTTGCCCATTGTGCGCCACTGAATGGACGTTACTAATGGTATCTGTCACGATCTGAGGAGGTACAGATTTCTATCCTTATATACTTCAACACTTCTTTTAGATCGTGTTTTGCAAAGACACATGACATAAAATGATTAATTATCTGTGCGTAAGTGACGTGTTATATTGGAAACATACATGAACGTGATAATAACTTTTTTTAGTCTTCAAGTATATCTCAAGTTTCAATCATTTAAAATTATTTTAAGAACTGACCAAATATTTCAATATAGTTGACATGCTAAAAACAACTTTCTTTTATAAAAACCAAAATTTGATGCCATTGATTATTAATCATAATTTCAAATTGAAAATGTTCTATTCTTTTTCGTTTATATAAATATGATGATTACATATACATAGATAAATATAGCAACAAAAAGACTTCTTGTTTTCTCTTGTAAAATATGCATAGATACATACCAGAATCTTATCCATCATTTTTCTATATGAGCCTTTTTTTTTCTTCTCTGAACACACATATTTATATAGACAAAACAGTTGAATATAAGAAAAAGAAATGAGACTAATGGTTTTGTTAATTTATGAAAATTTAATAAATCGAACTGAGATGAACGACAACAAAAAAAAGAAAATATTGTATTAACAAGAACAGAAGAATCAATATATCGAAAATACAACTTTGTGTTAATATGAATAGAAGAATAAATATATCAAAAAAAAAAAAGAAGTTATTTATGAGATTGAAGCCATCCAATAGCTTCATCTATATCTCCCACTGATGCTATAAGAGCTAAAAAGAAAAAAAAAGATTAAATTAAAAAACAAATTTAATCAATTATCTTCTAAATTTGCTTCACGATTAGTAAAACCCATTGAAACAAGTTGTTCTAATTGAACAGCATACTGTTGATCTGGTGGTGTATTCTATACCATAAAAATATCAGAAAAAAAAACAAAAAAACAAATTTAAATCAATATACAATATTTTGATTTGACGTCATATTCGACATTTGGCCAAATACACCTGCATGATTATTTGGATCATTTAATGATGATGTATTACCAATAGCTACTGAATCAAATGGTGTAGGTTGAGTAGTCGATGATGAAGAAGGTTCATTATTAGTTGGTAAAGATAAACCAGTTGGACCAAAACGACGATTAGACAATAAACCATCACTAAAATAAGTAAAAAAATTATTATTCTTTTTTTTATTCATAAACTAACGCTTGGAATAGCTTTGGTGCTGCTGCATGTAATTGTCGAAGTCCTATATGGTTATGTAAATGTCGGATGAAAAAGCCCATTTTAAGTATAATGTCGACATTCATTAGTCGAAGACCACAATTGAGCATTGAGTAAATAAAATATGGACCTGTGTACCACCAAATGGGTGAATGATTACGGTATTCTCGTTCGATNATAGCTTCATGAGCATTTTCATCTCCTTTTTCATATTGATACCATGAAGCTAAGTGTTGTCCTAGTCGTCTATCATATGCTTCATTTTGTGGATCAAGTAAAAGAAAAATTAAATCAAAATGTGATAATAATGTTGGTGGTAATTGAATATTTTTAATAATAGTTTTAAATTTATTCCATTGTGAGTCAATTGAATTAGCTGCAGCTAATATTGATGTACGAGCATTTAATTTACATATAATACCAGCTTTAGATATTGATAATGTTTGCTGTTCCTAAATAAATTTCATATTTTTTTTTTATTTATTTAAATAAATATATTTAATATACCATGACTTCATAAAGAATTGATCGAACGCTTTCATTCATTTTATCAAATTGATCAATACAACAAATACTATTATCAGCAAGAACCAATACACCTCTAAAATAAATAGAAATTTTCAACTAAGAAAAAAGAATTTATTTAGTCTTACGTTTGAAGAACAAGTTGACCAGTTTCAGGATCTTTTGTTACATATGCAGTAAGACCATCAGCACTTGTACCATTTCCATTAGTATATTGTGCATGAGGTACTAATCGAAATATGTATTGTTGTAATTGTGATTTAGCTATACCAGGATCACCACAAAGTAATATATTTATTTGAGATCGAAAAGTTTTTCGTCCAGTATTAATAAAATTCTTTTTTGTTCCACCAAATAATTGCAATAAAATACCTTTTTTAACATCTTCATGTCCAAAAATACTTGGAGCTTAAAAAAAATTCTGTCAAAAAATTCGAGAAAAATTAAACATTATCATACCAATAGCATTTGATAATAATTCATATATATCTCGACGTTTCGATAAATTTCGAAATTGTGCTAAGCGTTCTTTAGAAAATTTTAACGAACTTAAGTCGATAAAAAAAAATTTTCAATTAAAATTTCAATAAAAAATTCATTTTACCTTGATTCTTCATAATCATTTGTTGTTTGATCTTCAATTCTACCTTCAGCTGTAAACGTTTTTTCATGACGAAAATGAATAATATCAATAAATGTACGACAAACAGATCGCACATATCGTGTTTTAGGATTTATATGAACTGGTACTGCACGAAATATACCAGTTACTGGGATACTAAAATATCATGCAATAAAATGAAGTTTTATTCAAGTTTTTTCTTCAGAAGTCGTGAAAACAAGGGGAAAAGTGCAGGTTTGGAACCTCTAACATCTCAGCACCTTTTGAGCATCCGTTGGTGCTGGAACTTAGTAGTAGTGTCCATAGAGTTTTGGAAAAAAATAGGAAATGAGGTTATAATTACGAGTGAATCATACTATTATAATCTGATTCTTTTCGATAAAAGTATGGCTTAGGGATGGGATATTTATTTTACTTTGTAGTTACGTAAATACAGTAAAGTAACTACCGTATTTACTTTTTGCTAATAACTACTATCAATTTAGAAAGTTAGCGTTCTTGCTTGTGAGTTTGATAACTTACCCATGGATCCTCGTGTCCTATTATATGGAAGTATCCATGGGTCCTCAAATCCTATTGTATGAAAGTACCCATAGGTCCTCAAGTACTATTATATGAACATACCCATGGGTCCTTGAGTTCTATTATATAAAGGTACTCATAGGTCCTCAAGTCCTATTATATGGAAGTATCCATGGTCCTCAACTTCTATTATATGAAGATACCTGTAGGTCAGAAGAAAGATGCAACAATGCTAATACTTCCAATACCAATACCATTTGGTGTTGGTAGCATTGATATTGGTAGTTTGTCAAGGAAAATCAAATATGAAAGTTTAGAAAAACTAATGGTAGATTCGGATTCTTCGACCCCACAAGCCGTTTTTCAAATTTTATATAGCAGCGTTCTTTTTCGAAAAAGCCTTTTCTTGACGAAAAAATTAAAAACCTCAAATTTTGCAAAGACTAATTTTAAGCTCTTCAATTTTTCGTCAACAAGAAGATTTTTTCCCGAAAATAAGAGCTTTTATAAAGCTCGATCAAAGTTTATCGGGATCGAGGAAGTCGAATCTTTTATTATGTTTTCGAAATTCTCAAGTTTGATTTTCCTTTGCAAACTACCAATACCAACACCACCAATACCAAATGATATTGGTATTGAAAGTATTACCATTGTTACATCCCTCTGTTGACCTATGGGTACCTTCATATAATAGGACTTGGAGACCTAAAGTAAATTATTAAACTTCCAACCAAGATCGCTAACTTTCTAAATTCACAGCGGTTACTTGTAACTTACTAACTACGTTAACTACAGTAATTACGTAGTGACTAGTAAAAAGTAAATACAGTAATTACTTCACTGTATTTACATAATTACAAAGTAAAATAAATATGCCACCTCTAAGCCGTACTTTTATCGAAAAGAATCGAATTATAACAGTATGACTCACTTTTAGTTATAACCTCATTTCCTATCTTTTTTCCAAAACTCTATGGATACCACAGCACTTTTTCAGCACCTTCTCGGTACCTTTCAGCACCTCAGCACCGTGGCACCTTCTTAGCACTATTTCAGCACCTATGAGAAAAATTTGGTGCGGTGGTGCAGCACTTACTCCCTTGCGTGAAAACCTATTTTGGTGGGGAGAGAAGGCAAACACATAATATAGGACATATATGAGATCAGTTGGGTTCAGTTCGAAGAAAATGCGAACCGATTCCATCTCTGGTATGGGCGACAATAACTACAAATTTCCGCGGGTTTGAACTCCATCTCCGGGAGGGCTGTGTCCTCTCACTAGATAAAACACTGTCATTAATAAATAAATTCTATACCGATCACCAAGTTCTACTGCATCAACTAAATCATTATGTGCTACAACAGTTACAGTAACTAGTGTTTGTCCAGCAGGCATTTCCTCTAAAGAAAAAAAATTGAATGTATGATTAATTAATTTTTAAAAGAAATAAACCTGGTGTTTCTTGTAATCTAATAAATTGTTTATCAGCAAATAATGAACGATTATGAATAAGTTCAAATGAATGTGCTTTATTACATGATGTACATAAACTTGGTTCAGTAATTTGACCACGATCAATTTCAACTTGAACATGAAAACCACATGTATTACATGAAAAATATGCTGAGCGCATTTCAGGCATTATTGATGATGATCCAATAACCATGCCAGTAAGAGTAACTAATTTATCAATATCTAAATAAATTTCTTCATAACAAAAAAAAACAAACATTAATTTGATTTAAAAATAAAACCTTCTGGATCAAGACAACGCATATTTTTAAACATATCAACATTATATGGTCGTACTTGAATTTCATGTGGAAATGTATCATCTCTATAAATAGTAAAAAATAATTCATTAACAGCTATATTAAATATAAGTATAACTTCTTGTGGATATGAAAGTAATTGATTATACATTGTTTTATCAATTTGTTTTATATGTGCACAATCAACATTAAGAAATGAACGTTTAAATAAATGAATTTCTTTTAATTTTTGCGTATAAAATGCTTTAGATAGATCAACACCTTCAAGATTTGCTTCTTCAACATTTAGATGAAATTGTTTTAAAAATGATATAAATAGACATTTACAATCATTAATATGTACATCAGTACCCCAAATAACAACTTGATTATCAGCTGTATTTACATTAATATCACCTACCTAAAATTAAATAATTTTTTCTTTTCTTTTTCGATTATTTCAATGAATGAATTTACTAATTTCTCTTGTTCATTAACTAAACGTAATTTTCCTGCACTACTAAGATGAGATCGAGCTCGAAATGGTGTTGACATTGGTGTACAATCGCTACCACCCATATTACATTGTGCAGGTGATGATGTAAATGTCATTGATGAAAATGACATGCCTAAAAAGAGATTTTTTGTTTATATTAAAATAAATCTCGATTTTTGTTTCGTTCGACCTGGTGTACAAGACATTGGAAGAACAGAACTTGGTGCTGCATTAGCAACTGGTTCATCTTCTTGTAATGTTGTTAATGGATTAGNTACCTCCTATATCTCCTATATCTCCTATACCTCCTATACCTCCTATACCTCCTATATCTCCTATACCTCCTATATCTCCTATACCTATCTATCTATCTACCTCTTACCCTAGGACATAATGGAGTTTCCGGGGATACTCTCCGAAGACATCACATGGGATCACCACAAAAAGTAATATATTTATTTGAGATCGGAAAGTTTTTCGTCCAGCATCAGTAAAATTCTTTTTTGTTCCACCAAATAATTGCAATAAAATACCTTTTTTAATATCTTCATGTCCAAAAATACTTGGAGCTTTAAAAAAAACAAAAGAATCTGTGAAAAAATTCGAGAAAAATTAAACATGATCATACCAATAGCATTTGATAATAATTCATAAATATCTGGACTTTCAGATAAATTTCGAAATTGTGCTAAACGTTCTTCAGAAAATTTCGATGAACTAAAGAAGACAAATTTTCTAATGAAATGAACAAATAAAAATCAATTTTACCTTAATTCTTCATCATCATTAGTTGCTTGATCTTCAATTCCACCTTCAGCTGTAAATGTTTTTTGACGACGAAAATGAATAACATCAATAAATGTACGATAAACAGATCGAACATTTAGTGTTTTCGGATTTATACGAACTGGTACTGCACGAAGTATACCCGTAACTTGAACACTAAAATATGAAATTTGTTTTCAAAAATAAAAATGAAAATGATCAAAGCGATTCTCTACAATTTAACATCTAAAATAAAAATTCTTCTCAGTATACATACCGATCACTAGGTTGTACTGCATCAACTAAATCATTATATGCTACAACTGTTACAGTAACTGGTGTTTGTCCAGCAGGCATTTTTTCTAAAGAAAAACTCAACATATTTCTCATAAATTTAAAAAAAAACCAAACTAACCTGGTGTTTCTTGTAATTTAATAAATTGTTTATCAGCAAATAATGATCGATTATGAATAAGTTCAAATGAATGTGCTGTATTACATGATGTACATAAAGTTGGTTCAGCAATTCTTCCATGATCAATTTCAACTTGAACATAAAAACCACATATATTACATGAAAAATAAGCTGAACGTATTTCTAGCATTCTTAATGATGATTGAATAACCATGCCTGTAAAACCAACTAATTTATCAATATCTAAATAAAAAAGAAAATATTTTATTTCTAAAAAGAATATTTTTCATTAATTGAAACCTTCTGGATCAAGACAACGCATATTTCTAAACATATCAACATTATATGGTCGTACTTGTATTTGATGTGGAAGTATATCATCTTTATAAATTGTAAAAAATAATTCATTAACAGCTATATCGAATATTGATATAACTTTTTGAGGATATGTAAGTAATTGATTTAACATTGTTGTATCGATTTGTTTTATATGTGTACAATCAACATTAAGAAATGGACGTTCAAGTAAATGAATTTCTTCTAATTTTTGCTTATAAAATGGTTTAGGTTGATCAACACCTTCAAAATTTGTTTCTTCGATATTTAAATGAAATTTTTCCAAAAATGATAGAAATCGACGTTCACATGTACATCTGTACCCCAAATAACAACTTGATTATCAGCTGTATTAACATCAATATCAACTTGCTAAAATTAAATTTTTTTTTCTTTTCTTTTTCAATTATTTCAATGAATGAATTTACTAATTTCTCTTGTTCATTATCTAAACGTAATTTTCCTGCACTACTAAGATCAGATCGAGCTTGAAATGGTGTTGAAATTGGTGTACAACCGCTACCACCCATATTACTTTGTGCAGGTGATGTTGTAAATGTCAGTGATGAAAATGCCATGTCTAAAAAGAGATTTTTTGTTTATATTAAAATAAATCTCGATTTTTGTTCGGTATTCGACCTCGTGTAAAAGGCATTTGAAGAACAGAACTTGGTGCTGCACTAGCAACTGGTTCATCTTCTTGTAATGTTGTTAATGGATTAGGACGTTTAGCAGCTAAATAAAACATTTAATAGATAAAATTAAATAATAATAAAAAACAAGTTTCGTACGTGTTCGTTGTGTCGAACCAGGTGTTTGTTTATCTGGTGTACGATGTTGTTTTGATGGAGTATCATTAGATTTTGATGGAGTTGTCATCTAGAAGAGAATTAATGAAAGAATTGACATTGTTTTATTAATCAATAGCACAACAACAAAAATTGCGGTAATAGCCGTTCATATATTAAATAAGACCATGAACAAAGAACCGCGAATTAAATTTTAAAATCTTTGTTTTTAGTAACTATTTATTATCAATTTAAATTTTTTTTGCAATTATTTCTTTATATACTCGTAATTAAAACAAAAAGAAAAAAAGATGTCGCACGTTTCCCTATGCATACGAAATTTCAGAAAAACATTATTTTTGACAATCAGTTGGCTATAGAGACCAGAGATGTGCACCGCGCGGGCGGAGGCGGAGGCGGAGCGGAGGGCGGTCCGCGCGAGCGGCGCGGACCGCCTCGCCCTAATGTCAAACATGGCGCGGTTTTTGGGCGGCCGCGCCGCCGAAAAAAATTTTTAGGGACGTCCGTTCCGCGCCCGCCGCTTCGGATAATATGTCCGCTTGGAGGCCGCTCCGCGTCCGCCTCTCTAGGTAATATGTCCGCCGGCGGCCGCCCCGCATCCGCCTCTCTGAGTAAAATGTCCGCCGGGCGGCCGCGCCTTAACATATTAGGTATTAGAGTTTCTTTTTTAGTTTCAACCTCGAAAGAACAAGTCAGTTTAGCGTTTTTCAGTGGCATCTATCTTTTTTTTAGAGTTTAGTTATAAATAATAAAACCAGGTACGTCAGCTTAATAATCATTTTATAATGAAAGAAAATACTGTTTTTAATTACTAATA